CTTTTTCTTGATGCAAAGATAACCACAGTGACAAGGCATACCGTGTGGTTTTAGTTTTTTTAAGTGCTAAAAACTCTTGACTGACTATTTCATATCAAAATTTTGCATAACCATTGTTTGCGATACCTCCCAGGAACAATCCCAAAGATAGACAAGATAAGTGAATGGGCAATACGCCACCCAAAATTTTGCATAAGCATTGTTTTCACTGAACCGCGCCCGCGAGGAGTCTGAACTCCAGGAAATGCGTTTCAAATGTCACGTGACCAAAAATCTCGGTGATCATCATGGCGCTCGCTGGTGCTTGGATGTTGTTTGAATGTTTGCTGCCAGTTTTCTGCATTTTATCTATAGGTGGTGAGTCCTATTACTCTATGTTTACAATATTTTCCACGTAAATGGGAAATTGAGTGGTAGAAAATCATAGAAGAAGCGACAACCTGCAATTTTATAGCTTTGTAATTTTGTTGTCTTTTCGCGTACATGCAAGCGATGTAACCTTACACTGTTAGTTTAAGAGTCCGATTTCGATCTTCCTCGTTAAATAGACTAAAGATCCATTAAGCGTTTTGTTAAGATGTGTTGTAAATAATTACATATTCGTAGAGGGATAAGGATTGGGTAGTAAGAAATTATTACTAGCTCGTTTTTATACTCAACTTTCTCAATCAAATTCAAACGGGAAAAAATGCGTACACATTGTTTACGAAGGGTACTGAGGCATAAAGTCATGTGGATGCTGGTATAGATCCCTAACTTCACTTGTAATTTTGTTATTTTTGTTTTGTTTTTTTTTTCGTATTAGTATTGCCGACAATATTACTGACAGTGTACGCAAAGCGTCTGCCAAAGTATATACAAAATGTCATGTACTCTGTGTTTTGTTGATATACTGCTAGTCATTAAGGCTGGATATTGACCAAGTTCTTTAGCTGGGCCAATATAAAAAAATGTTCATAAAACAGACAGTCACTGCATACTCTGATCAATACTGTCTACTAAATTCTTACCATCTGTTAAAAAAAAAATGCTGACTTTCATAAATTCAAAGACTATGAAGTCATTACCTTGCATATTGTTTCATAACATAATTTGATTTATTTTTTACCCTATTTTTTCGCATTTTCTTAGTTACAGCAAATATCATTGCAGCTGTGGAAATATTTTAAATCATTAGTTAGCCTTAAAAACAGCCAACATTTGGCGGCGCTACCAATGGTTTCCCCGCCAAATGGCGTCTGAGAAACGAGCGCAGAAATTCCATACTGATGATGCATCACTACCCAGATCTGGGTAGTGACACGTCATCAGTATGGAATTTCTGCGCTTGTTTCTCAGACATCCTTTGGCAGCAAAACCAGTAGTAGCATCGCCAAATGTCACCTGTCTTCTCAGGCTAATCAGTAGTGAGCAAATTATTAAATTAAGCTTTTGTTCAATGATGGATGAATAAATTGAGGCCAGTTGAAAACCACAAATAAAAACTGTTACAGAATAAATAAAAACTGAAAATTCCTAACTTCATCAGATCAAAAAGAGCCAAGTTTTTTATAAATCCTTTAAAATTTGCCATAAATTCTCTATTAAACCTCTCCCCAAACACCTTTGAGATGGAGGCTTTATCTTTATTGAGATGGGAGGCTTATTTTAATGTAGTGAAGATAGTGGTATCAGATCTCCATAAAGAACTAGAATGCAAAGTGGAAAAGCTTAATACAAGAAGCTGGAGCTCATGGAACCGAGGATCAAAAACAAGTCTGAATTTCTAACACTTAAATAAACCATCCCGGGTCAGTCCAAATGAAGTTTTACAGTCATGATTGATTAATACAGTCTATCAAATTTTTTATTAGTGAAGGAGAAATGAGAGCAGTGGGAGCGAGGGTTTAAAAAGAGAGGGGATTGCTGATGAACTTTCTTTCCCAGAAGATGGGTGCTTTTTAGAGAGGGGGCCCTTATTTGAGCGAGCGAGCAAAGTATTTGCAGTACAGCAGAACCTTTTTATAATGCCACCTTGCCATTATAGCCTTTTTTATTTGTCCTGGCAAAATGCCATACACTTTTTATTGGAAAACTCGTTCATCAATTTGGTTGTTAATGTTTCTCTCCAAATTCACCTTTTTCATACAGCAAATCAATGCAAAATTTAATGTGCTTTTCAAATCACAGACCAGTGGTGAATAAATATATATATATATATATATATATATATA